TTTTTTTGGCTAGATTAATATTCACCATGACTTTAAGCCTTCATCACCTTGGATCCAAGTCTGCTAAAACAATAATTTTATTAGTACTGTACCTTAATCTCTGAATGCGTTCAGCCTCTTCTTTACTCAGCTGGTTCAGCTCTTGCAGTCTGTGCGCAGTGATCTTATCTAGCCAAGCTTTCCTGCATCACCCAGGCAATCATCAAATGAAGCAAAATGTAAGCTCAAAGAAGCTTTGCACATAAATAATTTATAATCCTCATCTTTAATCACGCTGATAGCCACTGATTAATAAGAAAGCACAACTGCAGTAATTAGGATTTGATTAAACGGAGACATATGTGGAACACTCAATCAATGAGGTGCTTATAAAACAGGCAAACTATTAATCACTCAAAAAGAGAAATGGCCTCAATCTAGCTGGCACCTAGATTAATTTATTGGAAAGAATTAACTTTGAATTAGAATCAGAGTATTGCCTCTGGCTCTCAGCAAGTGGGGTCTGACATAAAGGTTAGAAATGGCTCTCTGAATGTTCTCATTAATGTTCCTTTTCCCTAGATTCCACCCATGTGGCATTTTGCTATGACAGATAATCTAATGTGAGAAGCAGAAATGACACAGATTACAAGGTAATCTGAAAAAAGATATTTATAATAAGTAGAAGCGATAAAAGCTGGGATAGGCAGATTTTTCACCATCAGGCAAAAATTCCTAACTAAACTGCATATTTCTTTGGGCTCCATTATCGGGTTTTAAGAAAACCTAGCCAATTATATTAGATTCTGGCCAATCAGAGGTCCTTTCAGAGAGTCAAAAAGTGCAGATGCACATGCAGATCACTAGTGCATCCCTAGAGAGAAGAAAGCTTGAGCCAGTGTTGGAAAATATTGCAGGAAAAGTTGACGGTCCCTCACTAGCAACAGCTGCCTCTGGCCTGCAACGCACCACAGTAACAGGAAAACAGACTTATCAAAACACATTTATATCTAATATTATGGTCACAGGTCCTGCAGGGACCACAGGGAGCCAAGTGTTTGCCTTTTTTTCCACGATCACTGTAAGAACAGCCATGAAGGATGTGTAATTTATGGTTCAAAGCTTTGATTTTATATGTAACATCTTAGACTGTTATCATGAAAGCAAGAGTAATAAGGCCTTTTTCTAAACTAAACCAACCAGCTTACACATAGCTTCTGCAATGGGCACAAGAAGAGTGTGATCATCTGCAGGGAGCGAGCTTAGGACAGAGGAGAGCTGATGGAAGAGAGATTAACTTTCACATTTTATTTCCCTATTGTTCCCGATTACTGCCAACCCGTGTATTTAAAATAAGGTTAAAAAAAAAACATTGGGAGGTAAGGTTCACCTTAATGCTTCATTCTGAGCTTCTTTCTTCCTTTGTGAGCTTAGGCCTGGCTCAGTTGCCAAACTACCTCCAGGCCTCTGCTTTGGAGGGTCTGGTGAGGATTTCACTGGAGAAAAGAGACAACGAGGCTCTGGTCCTCCCCTTTGTGGGGATCTGCTGATAGCAGAGAATGATGAATGGGTTAAAAAATGTAAACAGAAAGATGCTATATTAAACAACTCAATGGAAAGCGAAAGAGCAATTTTTATTTTGACACTTACATCTCTTATACTATATTTACCAAATTCCTTTTTTTTTTCAGATTTTCCTTATAAGCAACTGTCATCAATGAAAAATGAAAAATTTGGTGCATATGGTACGTGCTGCACTTTACCAGTAACATTGAATACAATCTACAATCCTATAATGTATATAACCTCTTAGTCCATCAGATAATCTGATTATGCCTACTTGCATCCACAATTTGATTGAAATTCATAAAGAGATAATTGTGTAAAATGGTCTTTTTGGGGTTTTTTTTTGTCCACACATATTATTTCATACTAAATGTAAACTGTTACCTGGAGATCAGAGTTTCAGACATTAAAGCAGTACTTACATAATGACATTAATCATCGAGTGAGCCGAGGACTGCACAGAGAGATAACAGACTCACCGTTGTGGAGGAGGAGAGTGAGGGGATGTAGGTATCCAGGGCACAGAGTGCTCTTTTTGAGGGAGCTGGTTCACTCTGAGCCGAGAGGAGACTGTAGGCTGCTGGAAGCCTGCATCTTGCATCTGATTATGCTATAATAAAAATAGAAAATAAACATTTAATTATCAGTTTACATTAACCTCACATTGGTTACGTCTGATCATTGGTAAAAAAATTAATAAATATATGTTTTCACAGGGGATGATATCAAACAACAAATCATGTTGCTAATAACGTGTTATTAAGCGTTCTCTGTGTCTGTGAAATACTGAGTTCAGTACAAGCCCAGCACCTTTATTGTTTCAGACGTTTTTCTCTGAGAGGGCAGCTCTTTTCTGCTGTTAGTATTGGTCTGGGATCGTCTCTGCAGCTCCCTCTGCTGGACGAGGCTCTCCAAGCCCGACCGCAGCACCTCTCTTCTATTGAGGGGCTGTTGAGTAGTTTTGGGTTTCTGGGAGGCCATTCTCTTATCTGCTAACAAAAATAAAAAGTTAAACAATTTATTTGTTTTGATCTTAATTTATTTAAGTTCAAACTAAATAAAATTCAAGACCAAACAAGATTATTTATCCCTTTCAGTACAATTCAATTAAGTTGAACCCCGATGGGAGTAGACAACACGACCAATTACAGAATTTGCTTGCACTCTTGACAGCCAGGTGGATGTGTGGTTTAGGTTCAGGTTTCTAGGGAGATCTAGATTGCAGATGAGGCTCACTCTAGGTGTTTATATCATCACTGCCTCTTAGCCCAATACCCAGCAGGACTTAACTGCTCATATGCTAAACAGCAGGGGACCAAATGCCAGAGTTCTGCACTTGTTTTCCTATCACTTCCTGGCTCCCTGATCAATTTTAAGCCTGGGTACAGCAATTTACGCACAGTGGGAGGCCCCAAGACAACTGCACAGAAGCCCTTGGAGGGCTTTTATATACATAGGAGAGCAAATGGTTTGTCCTTCGTCAACAGGCCTCTATCAACAAGTAGGTCTTAAGTTGAAATGATAGTCATTAAACAACACCCACGAAGTCTGCATTAATAAATACACAAAGCAAGTAAACAGTGGTCACCATGGAGGCCTCTTCTGGGATTTTTTGCTTTGCAAGGACCTCGAGCCATTCCTTGCAGTTTGGGACGCCTGGGTGCAGTCGTAGGAGACTTGCTGCGATGAGGAGATTTCCTTTGCGGAAGGCATGCTTGAGCCTGCATCTTTATGAGCATCTCTTGTTTACTGAGAGCAGAATCCAAAGTCTATTAAAAATGAAGTGACAGCAAAGCCTGAGATTATTCACTCAATTCAAAAAATATATATTTTCCTAAAATAAGTTTTACTTTTAGACAAATTCCACGAAATATTGATTAATCCTGCAGCACAAGTCATCTATGTTTACAGTAATATCACAAATAAACAATGTAACAAAGAAAATAACATAATAAAAATATATGATGCATCTGCAGAAATCATATCATTTAGGCATATTAAAATCTTATTACTACTTCGATCTGTGACCTAGAAACAGCAGCAGATACAGAATCTGTTCTTGTAATGCTCTGCTAAACCTGCACTGCAGTTAGTTGGAATTCATGCATGAATATTTGCCTTTATTAAGTAAAATAAGAAAGTAGGTTTAAAGTCGGGACCAATACAATACTGCACTGGTTTGCCACATTGAGCTTCTTTCTGCTGATTGTTTTTGCATTGTCCAGGAGCCAAGTCTACACTAGGAAAACACACATCACTCTGTAAATACAGCGGTTACATCGTGATCCTTACCTCTAGTTTCTGCAGGATGTCAAGGGCCTTCTCAGGCACAGCCGAGCCCTGGTCCACTTCAACTTTTGCTGTGCACAAAGAGAGCTGGCGAATCAGCTGCCCCAGTTCTTTGGAATAAGCAGGCACTTTGCTGTGAGACAGATCAGAGAGTTGATGGATAAAAACCTGTAAAGCCCTCAGTGCTCCACGATGTGCAGCTGCAAGCCTGTTTATCGCCATGGACTGAAAGTAAAAGAGAATGCAAATAAATTAAGAACAGAAATGTCAACTTTTTTTAACAAAACTCCTTCATAAAAAAAACCAAAACAAAAATCAGACACGAGTGATTTTACTCATTTAATTCAATTTTATTTATATAGTGCCAAATTACAACAGTCGCCTCAGGGCCCTCATAATGTAAGGTAAAGACCCTACAATAACAAATAAATAAAACAAATTTTAAAAAATTATAAAGATAATGGATAAAACAATCAGACCCCCCCCCCTCCCCATGAGTAAGCACTTGGTGACAGTGGGAAGGAAAAACTCCCTCTTAACAATAAGAAACCTGGTTGAGTGGTTGAGGCAGAGGGGAGAGCCATGAAGTCCAAAATGTCACTGACTTTCTTCTCACCTTTTTAGCACCCCACATTTTCTGGCTTCGTAGTTTTTCTATATCTTCTTGTATCTCTTTTACCTGTTAAATAATTTGAGAAAACATTGTCTAGAGGAGCAGAGCAAAAGGAAATCCAGTGACAAACATTTAATGGCATTCAATAGAAATTTAAGTACCTGTTGCTGCAGAACATAAATAATACGCGCTGAGCGAGCTGCCTGTTTCTGTCTGCGTATCTCCAACTTGTTTTCCTCTTCAGGTTCTAATGACTCCTGTATTTTCTCCCCTGTTGTTTAAAAAAACATTATGGATTATTTATCAGCATCATGCATTGGTAGTGAAATCATAGGAAAAGTGTGATCATTGCAATGGGTTCCAAAATTATGATTACACTCCATGCATTTCAAGTTATAGGTGTCTTGTGGGCTACCTCTGTTAGCCAGCTCTTCCACTTTCTGAATATACACTTCCAGCTCATTTTGCAGCCTGTGGATCTCGTGGCTTAAAGGTGCCTCTTTGTCTCCTTCTACCTGCCTAAGGCCAGGGTCTCTGGTTGGGGGTGAGCGGCTCATTTGAGGCATGGATGAAATAGGATGTTTCTGGGATGTGTGTCGTTTGGCTCCAGCTACAGTCACCTTCTCTTTTGGACTGGATGCTTTTGACATCATCTTACTTGGACTTGCTGCAAACTCCTATAAAGAGAGGAAATAAACTTCATTTGCTAAACAGGCACAAACAATTAATTTCATATTATATAAACAAGAATGTTATTATAGACAAAAAAGTAATTAAATTACCTGACGGAGTTCTACATCACTTGTTTCAAAGAGTGAGGCCTCCTGAGAAGGTTTGGCCGATAATTTTGTCAGCGATTCAAGGCGCCTTCGTCTTAGATCTCGCTTGGCCTGCTTAACAGCTGCCTGAAGCCTTTCCTCAGAGAGTGTGGTGAAGCTGAAAGAGCTTCTGGCGCTGTCCACATTTTCCTTAATGTGTGATACAGGCAGCAGTCGCTCTATCACAATGGGGGCAGGCAGGCCGACATGTGTGGCACGGTTTCTAGTACTTGCAGGGACGGTGTCATTGAACAGCAGCTGTGGTGTGCAAGATAGAAGTCAGTTTTATCTGGTATAATCAGTCATTATGATTAGACCCAATCAGATATATTTATCAATAACAGGTATTTAGGAAATGGTGTCATTGCATATAGTTGTGGTCAGAAGGATACATGCAATCATTAGGGGCGTCATGGAACCAGAATTGCCATGAGATTCATACGATAAAGTATACCATATCATATAAATGTCGTAGTAATTTGGGGCTTTTAATGATTTCTTTCAACAGATGAGCAGATGGAATAATAATAACATCCTCTTTGTGCGAAAGCTATATTGTTGAAACTTGGATACAACTGGATGTTGAACAGGACCATGATCTCAAACACACATCAAACCTGATTTTACAAAGGATAAAACAGGCTAACATGAAGCTTTTCGAATGGTCTTCCCAAAGCTGTGACCTTAACCCTGATGAATATTTGTGGACTGTGTAGGCTCATGCCAGGAAACTAACCAATTTAAATGAACTCTACCAATTTTATCAAGAAGAGTGAACGATTATTTAGACAGAATAATGCCAGAGGCTTGTGAATGTGGAAAATCATCTAAGGGACATTTAACCAAATGTTAGTGGGGGTGTATGTATATATTTGAGCCTATATGTATAATATGTGTATTAGATGGCATTCAAATATTCAGAAAATGCGCCTAATTCTAGTGCAACCATCTCCAGGTCTCACTACCATCTTGTAAACCTTCCTTTAAATCCTAATGAATGAAGCCTTAGCTTGATGCTCAAATGAAATGAATGAATAAATGAATTTTATAGTACCATATCACCCCATTAGAGCACTTCGCTAAGTATTTAAAAGAAGAATGGGAGGGAGAGCCTTCGGTTTTCAGGCCCCTCTTCTATGGAACCAGCTTACAGTTTGGATTCGGAAGACAAACACTATCTCTACTTTTAAGATTAGGCTTAAAACTTTCCTTTTTGCAAAAGCATATAGGTAGGGCTGGATAACGTGACCCTGAATTCTCCCTTTGCAATAGGTGCAGGCTGCTGGAGGATTCCCATGATGCATTAAGCATTTCCTTCTCACTCACCATGTGTTAACAGACCTCCCTGCATTGAATCACACTTGTTTTTAATCTCTGTCTCTCTTCCAGAGCATGTCTTTTGTCCGGTCTTCCTTCTCTCACCCCAACCGGTCGCAGCAGATGGCTGCCCCTCCCTGAGCCTGGTTTTGCCTGAGGTTTCATCCTGTTAAAATTGAATTTTTCCTTCCCACTTTCACCAAAGCGCTTGCTTATAGGGGGTCATATGATTGTTGGGGTTTTTCTCTGTATGTATTATTGTAGGGTCTACAATATAAAGCGCCTTGAGGCGACTGTTGTTGTGATTTGGTGCTATATAAATAAAACTGAATTGAATTGAAATTGAATCCAACTAAAAACAGCACACGAATCTCTGGTAAACTTCACTGAGGCGCTTTACTTTGACACCAAGCTATTTACAAACATTGTGATATGAACATAGTGATATGCTTCAAACTGAAGTCTTATAAAAATCTTAAAAATGAAGACAGAAAGAGTATTATAACAAACACTTCACTCGCGTCTCCACCTCTTTTTCATTTTCAGAATGGTTGATCCCGGGTATTTAAATGTCTCTACCTTCACTGCCTCTACTCCTTGTAGCGATAAATATTATGACTTTCAGGACTGTAATATTCAGATTTATTGTTGACATTGTGCTGCACTCTAGGACCAGCTGATCTCAATCAACCAGCTCCAGGTCTGTGTATGTATCACTAGTATGTGGCCTTAGCTTTTCCATTTCAAATTGTGTACATGCAAAGATGAACTGCATATAATAAAGATAGATGAATATTATCAGACTTTCAGTGCTGTTTACCTTGGTATGAGAGATCCCAGCCGTTAAACCGCTGCGGCTGTGAACATTTCTGGTTGATCCTAAAGCAACCCAGTCTCTCTCTTCGCTCTGCTTTCCTGAGAAAATCCCGGGACCACTTTGCAGGGATTGTGCAGTCATTACAGCGAAAAACAGTTGTCACTGTAGTAAACAATACTAAATGTTATGCTAATGGGAGCTAATTTTGCTAACATAAAGTTAATCAAATCCAGAAACTAAATTCAGGCACTTCGCCGTCGTTAATGATCAGTTCTTCCACTTTCTGTATATGAATTATAAGTCAGCTATACGCACCGAGTGGCTAATTGAAGCATAATTAAAATACAGGACCTCGTTAATATCTTAAATTTCAAATTTAGCTTCTCAACAATTTGAAACGGCGCCATGACAACAACACAACCCTAAAGACGGAAGTAGTTTTTTTTTAAGTACGGCTTGTCAAAGAAGCCAAAAATCAACGCAAACGCTTTATAATAACGTGTGATAGAATAGGCATTCTCACTAAATATATCACATATGATCACATATGATATATCATATTTAAATACTGGAGAATAATTAGGTGTATAAATAAGAAAAAATATATTACAATGCGATTTCTTATAGCGGTTACTTTAAGAACTTTTTCCACAGACCGGAAGTAGGCGTCGACTTAAGAGTATTGCTACCAGGACCAAAGTTCAGAGAAGCCGCATTGATTATTACACTTGCCGCACGGGTTAAATTTAGCAGTTTAAATTTGTGCTTTGTCACATTAGCTTTGGTTAAAATAATGGCCCATTACGAAGAAGTAAATGTACACGGGTATGATGAATTCTGTCGGGCTGTGTCTGAGAGAAAAGGGAAGGATATTTTTGCATACTTTTCAGGGGATAAAGACGAGCAAGGAAAGAGCTGGTGTCCAGATTGTGTCAAAGGTAACCTCAGAAATCTTATACTTGGATATATTACGCAACTTACAGCCACAGCTACTATTCTAACTGTTTTGTCGTGACTTTTTTGGTCTTAAAGACTTTGATATTTAAATGCTGCTTCACTTAGCTTTGGCTACATTGTTAGTGATAGTGCACTCTTTTAATGGGATATTATATAGTAAAAGCATAGACATTAATCTGTCGTTATGTATTTAACGCAGTTTAGGTTTACATATAAGAAATTAGGTTTACTTAAGGATTTTACACTCACCTGCTTCTGTTTTGTACACAAGGTGATTTAAATACTGAAATACTGCACGGTTGTTGCTGTTGCCTGACGTGCTGGTCTGAGTGTTTCAGAAACTGCTGAACTTTGGGGATTTTGCTGCACAGCCAACTTTAAGGTTTACAGAGGATTAGGGGTAGTTTTCTGGGTGAAAATGATTTAGAATGGCCAAACTGCTTCGAGCTGATAGGAAGACAGCAGTAACTCAATTAACCACTTGTTATAGTTATAGAATGGAGAAGAGTATTTCTAAATTCACAACACATCAAAGCTGGAAGGGGATGGGCTACAGCAGCAGATGACCAGACTATGAACAGGAAAGGGAGTCTATAATTCACACAGGCTCACCAAAATCAGGCAACAGAAGATTGAAAAATGTGTCCTGGTCAGAGTCTCAATTTCCTCTGTGGCATTCAGATCTTAGGGTCAGAATTTGACATAAAAAATGAAAGCAAGGATCCATCCTGTCTTGTATCAAAGGTTCGGGCTGATGGTGGTGTAATGCTGTGGAGGATATTTTCTTGGTACACTTTGGGTTCCGTAGTACCAGTTGAGTATCATTTAATCAGTGCACGTCCATCCCTTTATGACCACAGTGTACCCACCTTCTGGTTGCTGCTTCCTGCAGGACAATACACCATGTTACAAAGTTTAAATCATCTCGAACTGGTTTCTTGCATTTGACGCTGAGTTCACTGTACTCAAATCACCTTCCCCAATCGCCAGATGTCAATTCAACAGAGCACCATAAAATGTGATTAAATGAGAAATTTGCATCATGGATGTGCAACCTGCAAGTCTGGAGCAACTTTGTTATGCAGTCAATATGGACCAAAATCTCAGAGGGATGTTTTCAGCACCTTGTTGAATCTATGCCACAAAAAATAGTGAAGCTCTGTAGGCAAAAAGAGGGTCCAGCCCTGTGCTAGCAAGATCTACCTAATAAAGTGACCAATGTATGTGCATTGAAATTACAGAATGACATATGTATGTATGTGGTTTAGTAAATCAGCTCTAATGATAAAATAAATATTTTGACTGATAAGCACATAAAAAAAAAAAAAAATCTAACTTCATTTCTACACTAAAGTTTTAATTAACCAGGTGAAATGAAGAGTTTGGATATATTCTGTCTTTTTTGAATGTGACAGTGTTATTTAAATGTTATATAACAATTACATTTTTTCATAAATGTGATTGTTTTGGATGGAAAATTTGGCTAAAATGAAAAGGAAAGTAACGACATTGCTTATTGCTGTTGAGATTAGAAGTATTGAAAAATAACAAGTCGAGTTCTTTCTTAGCATTTCTTTATCAAAATTGCATAAAGAGCATTTTGTGCTTCATCCTGTGACTTCTACCTTTCCAGCCGAGCCAGTTGTAAGAGGGCAGCTGAGTCACCTTCCGGAGGGCTCTGTTTTCATCTACTGCCAAGTTGGAGAAAGAGCCTAGTCAGTATTTTATGCTTCCTTTTTCCGGCATGTTGTGAGAAGCTGTTATTATTTCAAACTCTTTAGTCACACAAATGTCACGCGCTGTCACCACTATAGCACATCATCATTATTTCATGTTTACTTGTTGAGAATCACAGGTAGCCTGTCAATAAAAGGATTTTACTGTGGCAAAAAAGCTAAATAGTAACTGACTGAATCTCCGTTGTAAAGTTATATAGAATTAAAAGATACATGAAACATGAGGTAATTTCATTGAAATTGAAACCGATCATTGTTCTGATCAGAATTGATATTTTTATTTTGTTCAGCTGACCACAGAGCCAGTTAAACATTTCTTCTTTGGTATAAAGTGCTGTGATATTTAACATCTTCCGATGAGGTCTCATTATCATGAGACCATATCATGAGACCATGAGTACATTCTGAACCTTTACATGCTTTTTATATTAGGAGACTTTAACTCTTTGCTACTTTTGCTATTTTCTTTGTTTGTTTGCTTTAACTAACCATACTACTTCTGTTTATGTTTTATTCTCTAATGTGAATTGTGTGTTATCATTGTGTATTGCATACATAAATCACTTTTGTAGTCTTATTGACCGCTCTAACCAACTCAAACCACTTTTATAAACACTAATGCACGTTAATGATATACTGAGTGCTGTTTTGGGGGTTTATTATCTTGCTCAAAGACACTTTCACATGCGGTCTGGAAGAACCAGGAATGGAAACACTTCAGTAGTTAATTAAGTTTAACTTAACCTTTTAATTCTTCTGGAAGCAGTAAGGAAGCACAAATTTTATCTGCAGTGTGAGAAAGACAGAGTTGTTATTGACGACTGTTTACCGTTTCTGTTTAAACAGTATGCTGTGCAAATGTGCAATATCCGTTTTTGCTGTGATAAATTTTTTTTGCCTCCCAAGAGCCATTTGTTCACATGAATGCAAAAATGTGTTTCAATGCATAGTCCAAAGTGTTGTTATGTTATTAAATGTTGTACTGTTAAATTTTAAAAGCTTCCTAATAATGTCTTTCTCACTCCAGTTGGAAGGATCCAAAGAACGATTTCAAGGAGACGCTGAAGTTGACTGGAGTTCCCACACTGCTGCGATATGGCACAGTAAGAATGCATTTACCTTTATTTGTTTATGTATTTATTTATTTAGTTATTTGTTTGATAAGGCAGTTAATATTGAATATTTCTGTAATGTTAAGCGTCGTTTCTGTGTAATCTTTGTTTCAGCCTCAGAAGTTGGTGGAAGAGGAATGTTTCAAAGCAGACCTGGTGAAGATGATGTTCACCGAGGACTGAGGAATACTGCGCTGCTTTCATCACTCAACTAAAGTTCAACATTTCAGCACTTTTCCCCCCCTAAATATAATTTAAAATGTGAAATATCTTCCACTTTGATTCTGATAGAAATCAGAATTTGTTTAAGTTTGCTCCTAAAACAGTACTGACTCGTTTAGGTATTTAAATAAATGCTGTAATGCCTATGAGATGCACGCTTTACTTGCTGTCTTAATGTTTTTTTTTTATTATTGTGACTATTGATTTCATTAATTTTGTTGTTGCAGTGGCTTTAAATGGAGTGACACTTATAGGAGTAATTCTCTGGGTTCCTCTTTTGATCTGTCACACATGTCTGACCATGTTTTTGTTGTGCTGTTGTGGGTGATGGACGTACATGGTAAAGTTCACATACACAATGTGTTTTAGTTGTTCTTCATCTTCTATGCAACTTCAAAATAGATGAAGCTGTGCCAGAACTTTTCACGAGTCATTCTATGGAAAATTAGTGAGTGTCACACCCTCAGAATCAGTAAATTTTTGTCATACAATAACTTTTGCATGTCTAATCAAGACACTGAATGTTCATATGTCATACTGCAAAAATAGTCCGAGATAGAGCTCGTCAAAGTGCAAGGGTGATTTAAAATTTGGTGCTTTTTAGTTTTCCTTTATTTATTTTATTTTTTGTCACTCTGGAACACCCATAACATAACAGTTACATTAGCTAGCAACATCAGATCTTTCCAGGCTGAAAAGCGTGTTTAATCTATTAAAAAACTGGAACCAAATTCAATTTAAACCCACTCCATTTGTCAGAGCTAAAGCCAAAAGCTCTTTTTTGTTTCAGGATGATCAGTTAGTAGTTTAAATATTTCAACACAAACTTGATGTCAGAAACAGAAGAAAACATTGCTACTTTGGATGTTTTCCGTGTTTTCTGATCACTCACTGTAGCAAACGTAAATGGTAAAATTTTGGAATTACTTATTTTAAAGCTGTTGTAATTACGAATCAGCTGACTACGAGGGGATCAGATAGGTACTTTTCTGTGTGATGTGACTGACCCTTGTTTTCTTTTGTGAGGACTAGGTGGCAGCACATCCACAGGAGTTGAGTTTAGTCTCACCCCCAGTCTAAATACAAATGAGTAGAATTTAATTTACAGTTGTCTAAAGAAAATTAATCGACTCAAATTTAATGATGTTTGCAAACACAAGACTCTAATGCGATTCTGGAGGTCAATCCCGGAAAACCGCTGTTATTATTCTGAAAATTTAACAAAATTAAAAAAAAACCCCATAAACTCGGAAATTAAAACAATTCAGCTGCAAGTGCAGCTTTTATTGCATTTGAAATCCATAAATTGATTAAAGTGGCTTCCTTACAAACAGAATGATAAATATTGTGACAAAAGTGTGTGCTTTTCTCTTAAAAGAGTGCAACCGCTGTTGCAGTCAGGGCGATTTAAGCGGAGCGCATTCCTGCACAGCGCTCGCACCGGAGGACGAGCAGCGGTGAACACAGAGACCGCAACGCCTCGCCGGGGCTGGGAGCTCACCTAAAACCTCAAATTGGAGGTGGAGGAAGTGCTGGGTGTCGCTTGAACATAGCGGTTACATGTACAGAGGTTTCGGCTGAGGGTAACGTTGTGTGTTCGAGGACTGTACGCTGCGATGTCGGAGTTTCTGGTGAGTCTACTCGGGGAGCGGCTCGTCAACAGCGAGAAAGCCGAGGTGGACGTGCAGTCTCTGGGCGCGAAGCTGTCCCTGGTCGGGCTCTTCTTCGGGTGCAGCCTGAACGCCCCGTGCAAGCAGTTCAACGGCAGCCTTTGCGAGTTTTACAGCAGGTTCAAAAAGACGTCTGAACATAAGGACAAATTGGAAATCGTCTTCATCTCGTCTGATCCGGATCAGAAACACTGGCAAGACTTTTTGCAGGAGATGCCATGGCCTGCGTTACCTTTCAAAGACAGACACAAAAAGGTAAGATGGGCAGCGGTGATGAAGAGCAGCAGCCGAAGCAGGGCTTAGTGTCTGAAGGGGGGGTTTCTGTGTTGTACATGGGTTGAAAGACCCTGGAAAAATAATTTTAAAAAACCCTACACATTTAGGCTATGTCTGCTTCTTCTGTCAGAGCACAGGTGTAGTTTTTAATTTGGGTCATGAATTGGGTTTGTCCTACATCGACTTATTTTAATCAGATTCATTCAAGTGGGACAAATGGGATCATCTTCAGATTCTCTGTGGAAATCTTGTAACTGGTATTCGTTATTGATAACACACAGCTATCACACACTAACGTGTGCGTACGTGTGTGTGTTTTTAAACTATAAAATCAGCTGTTTATTTTAACTGACATATACATGATTGAATTGTCAGTTTTTCCACAAAAATATGTAAGAAATGTTAACTGAAATGTGACTTTTAAAAACCACATTTCAACCATTTTAATTAAAAAAAAAAAGAAGAAGCAAACAAACAAAAATAAACACTTAGAGTAAAAGGATGGACTCTTGCCCTTTGACTTGATTTTTTATCAATATATCTTAAAAGTGCCAGTCTAGACATTTTTGAGTTATGAACAGGACAGATAACAGGCTTCTCTTCTTTTTGGTTCTTCACTTTGCACTGGCTCATATTTTGACCACAGAGTCATTGCAGAAGCATAGTTCCACTGATCATCACAGCAGTGTTGTTATTTTATATTCTATCATATTAGCCAGGTGTGGCCTGTACACAGAGAAGGCCTGTTTTTTCCATTTTACTATCATTTCATCTTCAGTTTTCCTTAATTTCCTAAGAGTGTCAGCAAAGCAGTGCTTTGAAGATTTCTGACTACTTTGATTTCCCTGACTTAGTAATTACTTTTATATTTGTAATGTTTGTGTACATTGAGAGGCTTAGGTGTGTATTTTGTGATGGATGTGTGGATTAAATTGCTTAATTTCTCTCTGTGTAAATGACTTTAAGCCAAAAAATAATAATTAGGGTGTTTTTTTTGTTTGTTTTTGAAGGAGTTTTATTATTTGGGATAAATATCCCCTTTTTTGTTAATTGCAAAAACTGACAGGAAAAAATGATTTATTCAAATATATTCTTCCTTTCCAAAAATAAAAATCTTATGGCTTATATATCATGGTAGAGGTTTGCTCTGTCAGTAAGTGCTATCTACAGCTCCAGAAAAAATAAATCCAAGTCTTAGAAAAATGGAATTGAGGACAATGTTGCATATGTCATGTGTGCACTGCAGAATGCCAGAGGGCCATGCCAGTGTCCAGTTTGCAGCACAGGTCTCATCCTTGCTGAATCTAAATGTAATTGCAGATGAGGCATAAACAAAGACACCATGCTCAGCTGCATTTGCATGGCATCAGTCAGGCGTGTCAGTGAATTCTGATGATGCTCACAAAGAAAAATGCTAGACTAGATAACAAATTGTCCAAATAAAGAGGTCTGTGACCATTTCTCTTTTTGTTGTTTTTTAAAAAAAATATATTATTATTTTAAAGGTGAGGCCTGATGCCTATAAGAGGAAATATTTTTAGGAAAATCATACAGCAAAAACGATGTAATCTAGTTTAGCATCAGTCACGTCAGGCGGTGTGTACATAAAACCACGGTGGTCTAAAATGTTTAAAATCTGCTTCTTGTCCTAACAGTGCGCATTGGTTTTAGAAAAGACGTGCCTTGCTTAGCCATGTATAACCCTAACCTTTCTTTGTGACCACGAGGCATGACTTGGATTGAATCATTGTCTCGTAAATTCTTTCAAATTGCCAATGATGATTCCCGTTACACTTCATAATGAAGTCCAGACGTGAATAAGGTGCAGTGATGACAGGGGAGTGGGGGTTGTCTTGTTGTCTGGGGCGGAGCACGTCCACAGTGCCGTGTTATTGTGCTGTAACTCCAAGCGGAAAATATGTGTGGCATCAACATAAGCATTGTTCGTGCTCTAATTGGTGGTCTGTTTGCTGCCCAGACCTTGTGAGAATATTGCAGTACAGCTGTCTATCTCACTTTTGCAGAGGCCTGCAGTCTTCGTTCAGTTTGGGTTTCATCTCCACACATTCGTCATAATTCACTGTACTAACAGAGTCTTATAAATATGACTTTAGAAATGCGTAGAGCATTGTTATCTGTTCTCAGGCACTAGTTAATTTGTGATTCGTGCATGCTGGCATCCAAGTTATATTATAGCATTACAGGGTGGTTTTCCTGCCTTCACTTACACAGCAGTCTCTTTTCCATTTAATCAGATGTTTATCTTCAGAGGATCTGGCAGCATGTTTTTGTTCAGAAATGTCTCATTTCCCTTTCTCTTCTGGGTTTTCTTGGTGTAATCAGTTGAGCTCTGATAGATGGTTAATTAATCTGCAGCTCTATTGATTATAGACTGAATGTCTCCCCCCCCCCAAAAAAAAAAAAAAATTCCAACACAAGGATTTCATGGTGTTCTTTGTCATGCACGGAGGCACACCGAATATATTTGGTTGAATAAAATAAGCCTCAACTTGTTCCGAGGGAATTTTAAATGGATTCCATTCACTCTTTTTCTTACTCTTCTTTTTTTTGCCAAAAAGTGTTTTTTGGACTAATTGAAAAATAAACAGCAAATAATGAGGAGATTCAATGATAATGAAAATAATTGCAGCCATAATTAGCAGCCTATTGTGTGGGGATTTATGTGCTTTGATTAAACAGAATGTGGTCAGCTGAGGACTCAAATGCAACAATTTTTCTTTGTTTTAGTTTTTATTAGTTGTGTCTGATTCGAGTGCGAGAATCACATTTTGCAGGTCAGGCGGTGTGAAGTTAGCTGGCTGTGAAATGGGGGCAATTTGAAAAAACTCTCATTTGGCTCTGAGTAACACAGGAAGATCGCCTGCTCGTGATGTGCCAGAACATCTGAACGACTACATCACAGTACTATTTGTACCATAGACAGGCACAGGCAGACCTAATGGGTGAGTGATGTTGACTCAGTGGTGGGCTCTGTTGATGTTGTGGGTCTGTGGAGACTAAGTGGCCCTCTCAGCCCTCCATTCCGGTTTGTTTTTGACGTGATGCAGGCGGAACTCATCTCCTAGCGAAGGATGCAATTTTTCTTCAGCCCTGTCTTTCAGAGCCATCTAACCCACGTCAGAATCTCCAATTGTACTTTCCCTCCTCCTCCTCCTCCTCTCTGCTTCCACTCCTCTGCCTTGTACTGACTTGGCT